CCTTGAGTATTCAGATGAAATTGGAGTAGTTGTGTAAACCTTGTTTTGCTGCTTTTTATTTTATTTTTATTTATTTATTTATTAATGACTTTGGTGGGTAGTTTCTGAAACATTTTTTTATTTTCAATTATTTATCCTTTGAACGTACGGGGACCTGGTAATTCGTACTGCATGGGGAACAAGGCAACAAGCCTGTGAGAACTGTGAAGCCATGTATTCTGCGTGTAGGAAAATCATGCTGCATGTATATGTTTCCTTTTAAAATGATATATAAAGTCGTCGGGAAGGAAGTATAATACAAACCACAATGTTTGAGAGCAGGTTTTGGCCAAAATAAATAAATAAATAAATGATTAAGCGAGTTTGCATTTAACTACATATTCATCTCATTTGGCACTTTCCATCATCACTAATTGTGAGTAAGACAACTACTATATGGGAAAATTCTATTTTCATGCTCAAAAGTTTATTTATTTTCGTATACCAAGTTTCATTTTTATCAGTTTTGGTATCTTAATTAATTTTGGCATTGTAAGTGAAGACGATATGCTTTGATGTAGGGAAACGTACGAGTGAGACGATATTAATGAGATCGCAATCTCAAGAACACCAAAACACAATATTAAATCTTATTTCATTTTAATAATCAACTGCAGATAACAAAAGAGGGGGAGTCTTTTATATAAGGCTCTTAAACCCTAACAGTAACTTGCTCACCAAGACTAAACATAAATAACAAATAAATATTATATGCTAATAATAATAATAGATATTAATTAAACTACCAAATATTCTAATACCAAAAATAATAAATATTATCCTACATCATTAATTATACCAAGTTTCATCTTATCATGAAGCATTGTAATTTTCTTAATTAATCAGTTTTGTGTAATCTATGAAACCTGGCAACATTTCCTACTTTAAAAAAACAGTAATCCCTCAGCTGTTCTACATATCACATGTCAAACTAACAAATTTACAGAAAGCACAGGACATGTCATGATATCACATGATAATATTCACATAAACTTCACATTGCTTCCAAAGATGCAGAACAAGACATTTACATCTCACGACACAACAGCTAATCGAGTCACAGCTCAACTAGTCTACCTGACGGATATATCTACAAACTGAATACGAATCAGTAGAGCATCCTCAATGGCTGCTTTTAGATTACAGTAAAACTCATTCACCAAATACATCATCACACTGATCGTGATAAGTACAAATTAGCAAGATAATTACGTGTTTATGATTTTTGACAAAAATTAGAAATACGGCTACCACTATGAAGATCCTTCTTTATGTACAAAAGATGGTACGACCAGGAAATCTTTTCCATCTCCCACTTAGTACATTCAATGGCTTCTTATAAAGTCAAGTGGGTCATAATCATAAGGCTCGCCAGCTTTCACAAAACGTCCCTTCACGCGCTTCCTAACGTCAGCCCTCACTTTCCGTGAAGCATATCTTATCTTCTTATCGAACCTTCTCACAAATACACCACATTTTCTTTTTAGCTTTTAAGCGTAATTCAGGAACGGAGTAGAACTCTCAGGATTGTTTAAGAATTTAAAACACACCACACAACAAAGGAACAATTTTCTAAGAATTAAAATAATAATCATGATAATAATACTTTTTTTAAGATAAATGTTGAAAGTTATCCAGAATCTCTACTTACTTGCGTGACTTTCTTTTCTCTTTGTACCGTAAAACTGCTACATCCCTGATAGCCGATGACAGTGGATATTCGGGACAAGGTACATTGCACAGATGTTCCTCCATTACAACATCTCCACACCTGGGCTTATCTAAAGTGTCATCTTCTCCATTCCAGCCAGAAAATGAAAGTGATTGGGTGGGCCCATGAAAGCAAATGTTTTGATCATCAGATTTACAGCTTGTAATGGAGTCGACAGATACTTGATTGCTGCAGGCTGGCTGCATGGCTTCACTCTTTGTACTTGCGGACTGAAAGATTTTTCAGGAAAGAAATTACTTGAAAGAAAGTAATACAATGAGTATATAGGTAGTCGTTCCAAATCGTAACAAAATCCAAGTACATAACAATCCCAATTGAATATACGCAATTAACTCCAAGAAACTGAAATAATATGACTAAGCAGAGCAAGAAACTAAAAAAATATCACAATGCAACGTAAATTTATCATGAAGCATACCGTCTCCACTTGTACACACTCAGAATTGCAATCAGCGCCGTGCAAATTTTCGGTTTCAAACAAGCTATCCATCCCACCATTCTTGAAAAATTGTTCTGCATCATCAAAAAGTGCATCATAGTTTTCGAAACTCAAGTCTGTATCAGAGATATTGAGTTGTTCCTGGTAGAGAGTATCATGAGGGGTTCCATGATGTTTTGTTCTCGACAAACATGCCTGATAATAATTATAAATACAAACCAGTTCTTATTGTTAGAGTAGTCAATACATAAAACTAGATGGAAAAATAATTGTAAAACAAAAGAAACGTAAGCTCAATGATGCAGATAAGTATAGCACACACACACACACACACACACACACAATACACACTAAATCATTTCCCTTACCTCAATAACCTCACGGTATATACTTTTCACCTTGAACACGCTAAAGCAGCTTCTCAGGAAAAAATAAAGTGAAAAGATAGAATTTCACACTCTTACACATGTGCGTACACTTGAGGTCTATGACTGGTTTAGAGAGTACATTAAGAGTAATCATTTGCTATCTCCTTTAGACAGCCACAAATTGGTACTGAAGAAAAGATGTAAAAATCACAATAGGAATCTCCAACTCTCCATGACATTCAACATGCATACTGGATACTGGTTATCATAACTTCTCAAAGTATTATGGATTATGCAGCATATATTCTCAAATAAGCAAGGATAGTAACATACCTTCTCCAAACCAGGTCCCCAGTCAACCAACAGCAACAGACTAATGACCATGAATGCAGGGGAATCGGACCTACTACGATATGTTCAAAGAAAATCTCCCTTTTGCAAATTAGAAGCAAGTGAAAAAAACATATTAGTACGTTACTACTAAAAGTATAATTTTGTAATTTATGTAATAGCAAACTGATGGGAGGAATTCCGGAATCCTTTCTTCCAAGTTTACACAAAGAAATGAAAAAGGAAGAAATTTTCTGAAAGAATTGACGATCAATTTTTTTCTTGGCTAAAAGAAAAAGTACTTTTTAGCTCTAAAATTTGTAAATCACTCAGACCCAAATTTAATTATTTTACAACCATCATTTTTGGCAAACCCAGTTTGAAAGAGAGACCTTTTCCCCTACAATGCTGTTGGTCTGCTGAAAAACAGCTCCGTCACTGCTCATAACACGTTTAGTATTAACAAAAGATAATCAAGAATGTACCTTCTGACCAGGAAAATTCAGTGATCCATTTTCACGAAATCGCTCGACATCGGGAGCTAACACGTCCATACCAGCATTATCCTCCACGCTGAAATCATTCCACACCAGTTGACATTCATGAGCCCTTTCTTCTCCTCCTTCCAAATCCCAACCTGATTTGTCCACCTTAAAAAAGGACCAAATTCTTGAAAATTCATTCGCAGTGGGACAACCGGAGTAGGAATTGATCGTCCGTGTCTTGTGTTGAGAACCAGATGCCCCATGTTCAGACCAATAGCAATTTTGGCAAAGTGAGATATTTTCATCCATGCATCGAGTAATCGCGGGAAGAGATTGGCATTTCCCACACACGAGGCTCCTCGAGTGGCGTTTCGAGAGAGCATTCGCAGAGTGTACAGTTCTATCACAGGATAAACACAGGCAAGCGGCATCGGACATGCAGTAGACGATGGATCTCTGCTCACGGCAGAAATCACACAGCTGGCCCATTTCGAGTTTCAACTCTGAATTTTTTTTGACCGAATTGTAGTTATTATTTATTAAAGATAAAGTCTCTGTTCAAATAGTAAAGTTTGATTCACAAATCAAGTCCTTATCGGTTGGCTTGAAGAGTCAAATCTTATGCTTTGACACTTTCAAAACATTAACCACAATTGTACCACCAGAAAGGGTAAACAAAAAAATGAACAAATAATTAGCAGAGAAACAAGAAATAATATCCTGTGCAAGATTACACACATGGATAAAGTTGAACCAGAACTAGCCGAACGCAAAACAATACATATTAAAAACCAAGTATCCAGACCGAAACAATTTCCCAAGAGTACAATAAAATCTTTGTCTATTTAGCGACCAATAAAACATGATCGCTACAGAATTTCAATTTGGAACCCAACACAAGTCATCGTCTTCAGAAACAAACAGTAAATCGCGATAAGTTCAAATTTTGTTCAAGTATCTTACACAAAAAGCTGCAAAAGTTCATCTTTTTGTTCTAGATTCACAACCCAGCATCCTTAACAAGAACCGATTCATATTACCACCATCACCAAAACGTAAATAAAAGAAATAAAATGCAAAAAAAAAATACAAAAAGACTCACCACTTGATATCAGGCAAATACAGCAAGAGGAACTTTACGCGAAGAAGTATGAATCATCAGAAGAAGATAAAACCAAACGAAAACCCCTTTTGTTTGCGCCTCTGATTTTTCTATTTGGGACTGGAGATAACGCACTTAGGTGATAAAATAAAAGCACAAACGGTAGCGTTGGGCAATTTATGGGAGGGCCCACAGAGAGGACACGAGCAGATGCTGGAATTAATTACAAAATCCCTTTTTCTCTGCACTTTATTTTATTTTTCTTCTTGCTTTTATGAGTGTTGATGAAAAGGGAAACGTGCCAACTTGTTGATAGTTTGGCGGTAACTATCAAACCCTCTTGCATAAACGTCCAAAAAAATGTGGATTATTTTTTATATCTTTTAATTTTAACTTCGCATTTGTCTTTTATTCATCATCATATCCTAAAATAGAGAGTATTATAGTAAAGATATATCTTGGCAATCTTGTAGTAGAATTAAAATGTTCGTAATAATGGTGTTGCAAAAATCTTATGAAAGAAAAACAAAGAATTTTGTGGTGAATAGATTGAGATGAAACAATATTGCTTAAAGATGATAGGATGGAAACATAAATGAATAATAGTTTCTAGTTAAAATCAATATTTTTGTAACAGTGGTCAAATACTCAAATTAGAGTTGAGACTTGTTTGAATCTATATATATATAATAAGAATTAACATTTTTCAAAAATAGTAAGCAAAAAAATAGGAAATATTAATTGCATTCTATTTTTTGTATGTTTTTTTAATTTTTTTAATAAAAAATCAAGTAGCATTTAATGCTAGCATAAATTATGAGATTTGTTATATAGATGCATATTTAAATTTCAAACTTCAAACAAAACATGCCTAAATGTATTTTGAATTTTTTAGGGAAAAAATTTAACAAACACGTTAAAGATTTCATACAATACATATATTTATATACATTATCTTAACATATAGGTTAATTAGTTTCATATCTAAACAATATATATTTAAACAATATATGAACAAATATAATAATTTGTCGTACAATACAGACAAATATATAAACAATATATTTATATACAAATATAATAAACAAATATAATAAACAATACAAACAAATATACAAACAATATATAAACAAATACAATAACTTGTCACGTGTATATTTCGTACAATACATATATTTATATATATTATCTTAACATATAAATTAATTAGTTTCATATCTAAACAATATATATTTTAGGAACTTAAAGATTCATAACATTACTGACGTCATGTATATTTATAATATATTGTCACGTACATTTTACAAAAATTGGTAACTTTTTTAAAATTATTTGGATAACTGGAGGTTGATTTGTAATTTGAATTTCAAATTCATTCAAATATTTAAAGGAAAATATCATAAGCAAATTTTTTTGATACATTTCATTTTATCTCAACTTACATATAATCACATTCCTACCAAACATTAAATTGCTTATATCTTTTTAAATTAATTACATCAATAAATAATATTAATATACATTACCTATTTATCATTATATAACAAATATATTACTTCTACAAGTGTTATAAATAATAATGACATTATATGATAATAGATTTTTTGATAGATTAATAATTGAGTATTATGATGAACCAAAATATGTAAAATTATTATTATTTTGTATTAAAAAATAAATATATATGTTAAAATATTATTTATAATAATATAAACGGGTCAGCATGCTAATATATTGTGAAAATAAAGTTTAAAAAAAAAAGTTCTAAAGTACGAAAACTCGTGCATCGCACAGGATTTTCACTAGTGGTCCTTCAACCCGAATAACAAGGACCAGATCAAATTTTAATTAAAGCAATCTTGATTCAGTCGACCTAAATATTGATTATTTTGGGCCAACCCATTTTTATCATATCATTTAATATACTTTTTGTTTATTTTTTAAATATTATGTTTTATTTTAAAAAAATATGTATATTATGTGATAAATATTATTAGGACTTTGAGTTATAAAATTCACATATAAATTGTTTATTCTTATTTGTGATTCCAAGATAAAAAAGTACAAATATAATTTACTTTTTAAAATAAATTAAATATTCATTTAAAATTAATCTGATAAATAAATGATTGACTTGTTGACTCGCCCTAGCCAATTACCGGTCGCGCTTGAAAATGCTGATTAGAATTATACAGTGCGTGTTGTCTAATAATGATTGGTGAATGCATGTCGATATTCAAAATGTTTTGTATAAGGTTAATCTTATTCATAAATCTTTATGAGACAGTTGCATGAATATTTTAGAGCATGTTTATTTACAAATTAACTCACTCACATTTAATTTATACTCAATATTTAATTCAATCTCATTATCTTTAATATTATTCATATAATTAAATAATACAAATCACATTTTTACACATCACATCAACTTTATTTCACTATTCATTCATTCACATAATTTTAACTACCTATCGTTTCTAATCATTTATCTCATACTTTTACATCAAATTAATTTTAATTATTTTATTTTAAATATTATTTTAATACATTCTTACAATCTCACTAACAACTAATCATATCACTTTTTTTAATATTAACTCTGATTAACAAATTAATTAATAAACATACGGGCCCTTACATTTTGTGGTATTTTGCTTTTGGTATAAAGATCTACACTTCTAAAAGTCAAAACTATGGATGGTAGATAAATTTTATATTTATATACATCTAATAGTTATAGATGAGGACAGTGGTTTGGTATGAATGGGTAGTAGCATTCACATAGGAATTAAAACATTATTATCTGACCATGTTTTGCATGAGATCAAATCAAAGCTTCCTAAAAATAATTATAACTCAAACAAATTTGCAGGAAAATGAAATGCAGATTTTTGAAGCAATATTCTTTGAAATGCGCGCCGCTAATGGACAAATTAAGTGAATATGGTTGCCAAAACCAAGCCAAATTGTTGATTGAGCTTTCTTAACATGTCTGGCAAATTAACAGACGTGGACAATTGCAAAACGTAATTATTTGTGGGAGGAAATTTGGTTACGTAGTTGGGTACTTTGCAAAATTAATTCGTGGAAATTCAGTGTTTAATTTTTTCTATTGTGAAAGTAGTTTCAAAACTGTCAACAATAACGTGGTGTCACAGCGAGTCACGTCGTTGGTCGTTAGATTAAAAATAAATAAATTTCAAGTTTAGTTCTATAAGATTAATTGACCTTGTTCCAAATTTGGTCTCAAATGTTGCAAAAATTGTTCTTTACTACTTTCTGTTGCAATTTTTATGTCGTGACTATATAACAATTTTTGATTTCAAAAAATTAGTTTTGAGACAAAAAAACAATTATTATACAATGTTTTGTATATTTTAAATTAATTTTAATTAAGTAATAAATATATATAAAAAAATAATTATTTAATTTTATTATAATTAAAAATAAAAATATAACTGTAGAGGTTAATAAAATTTAAAAAATAAAATAAAAATAAAAGTAATATCAACTACTATTGTTTTGAAAACTGGGTCAAACTAGCGGTTGAATCGAGAATCGGTCAACTAAACGGTTGGATTCCTCTGAACCAATTGATTTCCAATGAATCGGTCAGAATTAGTTGATCGGACTGGTCAATTTTATATTTTAAATATGTTAATAAATATTTATATACTTTTTCATATAATAAAAATATAAATTTAAATATATTTGATATATATATAAGTTCAACTATATTTAAATTTATATTATTATTATTATATTAAAAAATAAAATGGCAGTGAACATTGTTGAAAGAAGGTTTTTTGAGGCTTTCTTTTTACCATTTTTTATGATTTTTTTTAATTTTTGTATTTATTGCATTTGCTACTATTCAATGTATTTGGTCGTTTTATTTTTCGTCTCAGAACTAAATTTACTATCACAGTTTGTTTTATACATAAAATGGTGTTGTACTGTGGTGAAAGAAAAAAATACTGCGGTGAAAGAAATTTTAGGGGCATTCTGTATAATTATTTACAAGTTTTTTATTTTTTGCATTTTCGTGTGTAAAGATGTACACAAGCCTTTTTTATTTGAAAACTAAATTTTTACTATCAAAGAATAAAAATTGCAACAAAACTTAGTAAATGACCATTTTTGCAACATTTGGGACCTAATTTGCAGCACGGTCAATCTTATGGGACTAAATTTGCTCCTTTTCAACCTAACGACCAACAGCCACGTGACTCGCGTGTGACACCCCCATTAATATTGACGGCTTTAGGACTACTTTCGCAATGAAAAAAATTGAAGGACTGACTTTCCACCAAGTAGTACTAATTTTGTAACGGGCCCAATTCTACGGGGCTGAATTTGCAATTTTCTCTGATTTGTGATTAGAGAAAATATAAATATAGACATTAAAAAATTAAATATTAATAAGCACAAAGACTGATAAATAGAATAATGGAACACCAAAAGTTGATAGGTAAAATTCCAAAACACCTAAATTAACACTTTTCTTGTCAAACGAGAGATAAACTTAGGCCTGTAAACGAGCCGAGCTGAGCCAAACTCTAGCTTAGGGTGCTCAAGCTCGGGCTTGAGCCCTTAACAAGTCGAGCCGAGCTTGGCTCATTAAATAAACGATCTTGAAATCAAGCTGGAGCTCGACTCGTTATTACTAATAACGAGTTGAATTCAAGTCGATCTTGAGCTTTAACGAGCCGAACTATATAAAAGTATGTAAAAAAATCTATTTTTGAGCTTTAACGAGCCTTATCTAGTCCAGCCGAGCTCGACTCGTTAACCAAACGAGTTTTAAATGAACTCGAGAACTAGCCGAGCCAGGCTCTTTTAATTAATAACACTAGATAAACTCAACACCCGACCAAAATACAAAGTTCAATACAAGCCGTGGCAAAAACCCACTAACAACTGAGATAGAATGAGAGCAACATGCATATGGGTATGGCCTAGATTAAACACAAACAAAACTAATTGAAGGCAGTACAAAAGCCTGAAACCAACAACTACACAATTCAAACTAAAAAACAATACAAACATTAAGAAAACAACTAGCCATTGACACAAGACCTAGCTAGGTGATCTCTCATGTTCTTCATAGCCTTCCCCTTTAACAGTCTTTGTGTTGAGTTCGTCGAAGAAATTGTTTATTGTTCTCTAATTGAATACCTGAAAAATTAATCCTAAGCGCGGTGGAAGCTAAACATTAGGATCAATATCTTACGAATTCGATTTAACTGACTTTAAGACGACTTACATAGGCTAAGGGCCCAAGAACGGTTCTGGGATGCTCTTCAACCTTCTTGTTCACCTTGCCCCGACTTGTCTGCGCGTGCGTCTGCTGCTCGCTGAATGCTATCGCTCCGCCTCGCTGTGCGCTGCTGGTCGTGTGGAGTCACCGATGGTCGCGCTGTCTCAACTTGTTGTGTGTTGCTGAACAAAAACATGAAACAAACTAGAATGGTTAACCAACAACACTTGCATTGAATGTCAAGAGAACAAGCCATGGAGGCTATGATTACAATATGAAGGAGATACAAAACAAAACCTAGACTATATTATTTATAACAACCCATAGATCTCTCTAGATTGTAGAACACTTGTCACACATCCACACTACATTCACTAACGGATAAGATTGACGAAAAAGATGCTGCAGAGTGGCTGTGATCGGTCCAACATGGCATGGAAGTGAGAGGGCCGTTGGGTTTGTTTGTTTGCATGGAGATACGGTTGGACATCATGTTGTCGTCATGCTGAGGTAGGTCGTTGAATTCAACTATTTCTTCTAACATTCCCCCACAATCTGAGCCAGGTCGGCTTGTCACATGCAACTTCATTCTTAACCTGGTGAAAGATTGTATATTCAAAGCCTTAGTCAGGATGTTCGCAATCTGATCATAGCTGAGATCAGTGTTTTAAAAAGCGTATTTAGCGCGCTATATAGTGCGGAATAGCGCTGTTGAACTACAAAACGCACTGTAGCGCATTAAAATTCGCGTAATTCCTAAAACGCGTACGCGAATAATGACGTCGCACGTTTTTCTAGCAATATCTCACGCTTTTTACGCAATAGCGTATATTTCTCACGCTATCAGAAAAAAAAAAAAAAAAAAA